AATGGCACTTAGAGGATTTTGCATCTGAACTCTTCATATATATACTATATAGAATAAGGCGCACAGTCCCGGGTTAGCAAAGTTATGAAAGTAATATGTAGGAAGAGATGAGATACACTATATATAAGATTACTATAGTATTACTAAATAATAATAATATATAACTGCTTGATTACATAATGAAATGACTGTAGAATGTTTTTATTTTTGAGGGTTTATAAAAAGATTCCAGAAATTAAAGATTTTTAGAATATAAAACAAGTACTTATTAAAACATTTACGTTCATTAATTTACAAGTGCGTGGAAAAATCTATATGATTTTAACACTATAAAATATTGGAAGTGTTTTAAAGTTTTTTTTGTTTAAAATGTGCCTACTCTGTAATGAGTGATAAATTGTTAATAAAATCTTAGCCTTTATTCTTTCAGATGGAAACTGATCAATCTGCTCCGGTACAGCAGGGATGGAGGAGGCTTACGGCAGCGCTGGAGGCCCGTCTGCTTGTGGCTGATGATCACACACATAGAGCTCGGAGCTATGTGTAAGGGTTACTGGGGATTAACACAGCCCAAATCAGCTGGGCCACCCCAACGTAGGCAAATTGTTTTAAACCCCATTACAGCAGCCACAGTATTTCCTTCTTATCAAGCCCCCTGCAGCTTCTCATTAATATTCCAGATATATGGCCGTGCACTCTGTATCATTGTCTATTAATGAGAGCAATAATCATTCATTCAATTATTAGACTGTCAGCCCACACCCGTGCCCACCAGGTTAGCCTTGTTTCTCGGTCGCTGGGCAGGCTGGAACAGAGGGGTGCCAGTCAGGAGGTGAGGTTGATAGCAGGGATTACACCATATTAAAGCCTTTAATAAGACAAACAGCTCAGGAGGGTTAATGCAGAGAAGGTTTTGGGAGACCAGATATCTGGCTTGTTTTTTTGTTTTTTTTTATGTGGAGGCCCAGCGTGCTTACGGCAAGAAACTTTTGAGCAAGAAAAATGTTTGAGTAAACAGGAACAGCCAGCACTTTTTAACTAATGATGATGTGACTTGTGCATTGATGTGTTGTTCAATGAATCCTTTCTCATCTGAAGGTTGACCCTGACCTCTGTTGGTTAGAAGCTGCTGAGAGATCAAGTGCATTGTTGATTCCCGCTGAGCACCCCAGATCTGTTCTTCTGCTGTGAGGGCAACCACCTGGGCCACAACAATCTACTGAGGACAGTGATAAGCGTCCGTTAATTGACATACACACACACACAGACAAGTAAGTATACATCAGAGCAACCAGCAAGTTTGCTCACTCTCCTTGAATGAACTTCACTTCTGTTTGCACCAAGCTTTTGCTGTTAGCGTAAGACGGTCTGACGCGGCCCGAGAGGGTCAAATGAGAATGTGGAGAAGATAGGAGGTGAAATGTTAACAAAATCATAGAAAATCCTGAGCTAGATAAATTCCTGCATTTTTAAATGAACAGAGGCAGCCGTGGCTGTGGGAGAGCTTTGTCGCCGGCCCATTTTCTCGGCACAAGGCGCGCAGTCCCGGGGTCAGCAAAGTTACGAAAGTAATTAAAGCGGCTTGATTCACCGCCTGCTGCAGAGAAAAGAAAGCAAGCTGTCATTCTGATTTAGAAAAATAAATTACAATTTTAATAAAGGGGTGTGGGATGGGGGTGCTTTGCTGTCTGGGAGCTTGCTTGCTTGCTTGGATGGGGAAAGGTAACAGGAGGGGGTGGTCTAAGGTTTTCTAGCTGCCTACTTATCAATAGTTGCAATTTTTTGAAACCACATCGGTATTACATTGCGAAGGCACAAGTGCCCTTAAAAAAAGAAAACCCGGAGAACATTAACATACTGATTTCATGCACGTGGCAAAGGGTCTGTGCCAATATCAGAGAGGACTCAGCACTCCTATTGTCTGCTAGAACTCTGGTCTCCTCTGATATGAAAATTCAATTATATTATAACTAGATCTCGCGCTGCGTTTTGACAGTCAACGGTAGCATTTTGCCAGCTGCATCCGTGTGGGGGACCAGAGGGTCCTGATAGCGCTGAGGCAGCCTTTCAGACATTGACATGTTTTCGGGGGACAAGATTACTTAAATGTGTCGCATTTAAGGAAGGAGAGTTAATCTAATGCATTGCCATTATCTCTCTCAGGTAATTCCAGTACCACCCCCAATCTGCGTGTTTACGCACATGCACATCCTCTCATATTCCCAATTACACTACACCAGATTCTTCGCAGTCTCTCTGTTCAGCACAATGCATGTTTATTTTTATTTTTTTTTATCTAGTTATTGCCTGTAAATAAACAGCAAGTTTTGGCTGACGGGAATCGTTTTCTCAGTGGCCAGCAGTTTTTAGGTGACAGCTTTCATTGGTCTCTGAGAACTCAAGTTATTCAGTCTGAAAGCCTTGAGAAGTGAGTTCAGTTGTCATTGAATTGCTTACATTCATTAATTGTTTCACACAAGAGGAGCAGAGTGTGGAACTGTACCTTGTTAAAATATATTGAGATTTTAAAATATATTGCTTCCCTCATTTAACTAATCTCTACTGAGAAGGATTCTTCAGAATATGTAAATCTCAAAAAGTGACTTTAAAGAGCAAAACTCTCTGAACTTTTTACAATTCAATTGCAGGATTTGCTTTCAATACTGCGGGAAGACGAATCATGTTTGAATATTTATCAGTGTAATGTTTTTTTTAATTGATCCCCTTGTCATTGGAAATGACTGAGATTAGATGTTGTTCTTGTAGTGTTCCAGGAAACAGCTAAGAGTCCTACAACTTGTAGATTGGACAAAAAATGAAGATTGCTCTAATTTGATAGAAAGTTAGACTGATTGCCCCTTGACTCAACACTGGTCATATTAGTAGTTAAGGGTGTAACATAAGGGTTACATTTATGCAAACGTTCCCAGGTCAGCTTAAGGGATTGTTCGCCCCAAAAAACAGAGAGAGAGAGAGAGATCGCAAAGTGAATTAGGGAATATTTTGGAGTGTAAATATACCAGAAATCTTGGCGTTTCTTTCTTTCACTGGACTTCAGTCCTCATTGTGTGTGTGGTTCTGTCAGAGAGACCAAGACACAGGAAACGCTCCCCTCTTCAGCCCACAGCCCTGAGACCTGAGAGTGGACCCCCCATTAACCCAGCACACAGCACACACATACCTGCCTCCCCTCATTAGGCTGTGTTGAAGTACATGCTCTCCTAAAAGGAGAATAGAAATCCTAATTAGTATTCTCTGCAGGGCCACAACCATTAGCACTTAATTAGCACAGAGAGCACCCCTCTTTCCGGGTGTGGGGTGGGAAGGGGGGGTCATGTTGAGTATAATATTGAGTACAATATTTTTGCATATTCAATGTTTGCCTTGACCATAAAGAGTTTTTTGTTTTGCAAGTTTGCTTTTGTTTGTATGCACATTTCTGCTCAGTGTCGCATTTCAGTGGTTTCATATTTGACCAATTTATTTATGATAATATATGAATCATAATATTTTGTATGAATATTTAATATGTAGAGTGCAGAGTAGGGGTGCTGAGGATGAGTTTTGTGGTATTTTATTCTCCTTCCCTGTTCCTCCAACTTCTTTTAGTCCTCGACTCAGCCCAGGGCCGGTGCCACCTTTCACTTCCTGAAACTTTAGAGGCGGAAAGCCATCATTTGACAATTTGGCCTGAATGGGGCGGCCAGCAGATTGAATGTCGTTTTCCCACCAGGCTTCTCCATCCAGTGCAGCATGGAGGGGGTTGGACGAGAAGGATTGGGTGTAATGTGCAGAGTAAAATAAGCTCTTTGATGGCAGTTAATGGTTTGAGATGAGTGCCACTGACGTATATTTCCAGGAAGATCTCTCTTTCTCCCTGCAGCTTGCACTCTCTTTCCCTACACCCCTGTAAGATCAGACTGGGACGGCCTCTGCTGTCAAGGCTGTAATTTGCCCCTGATCAATATAATTATGCAATTCTAGTGGCCTCCTCCTGCTCAGATGGCCAGTTTTCCAGGTGTCTAATCCCATACTTTAAACCCTTGGAAATCACACAGACTGGATGTGGAGCACACCTCACAGCAGTCCAAATGAACTTACTTGATTATAGCATAATTACTGGAAAACAAATGTGCAATGTAAGTGGCAGCAGTTACATTCTCTTTTTTTATATTGTGTAACAATGTATTCTTAGTCAATCAAAGCGGTTCAAAACATGTATGTGCTAAACAGTCGCCTGGGGTCAGTAGGGTGTGAATGTGTTGATGGCACTTAGATGGGGCTAAGGGTGGGGACATGGTAGTAGTGTTTTTTTTTTTTATCTTTAATTAATGAAATGATGTCTCTTATTTAGATAGACAACACAAATACAACAGAAATTATTTACATCACATAGACATAATTATGCAGTCAAATTAATCTGAGAATTCCCTCTGTTTATGCAAGCCTTCTATTGCCCCAGGTTGCGTATTGACAGATGGGTTGTGAGGGCTGTGTTAAATGTCTTTATTAATCTGTGCCTGTCATTTTGACAAAGATGGAAATAAAACACCATTTACTGCCAGGAGCCATCAAGATGATCAGAAAAACAATTAAAGGCTGTAATGGATGAGCACAGAAAGGTCATCATTTATATGGCAAGTTAGGAACACGTTTGAATTGCTACTGTTGTTTTGTGTTTGCAACAAAAACAGTTTTTTTTTTACAAATGATTAATCGTCCAATTATTTCTTAGTTTAAAACCCCTGTAACAAGCCCCAGTCCCGCAGCAACCCTGCGCAATAACATTCTGTTTTGTTTCATTTCAGACTCTCTCAGTCGTTTCTCTGTCATATGTCGTGGTGCTTTTCAGGAGCTCCAGGTCAGTTTCCCTACCAAGTTTTGTGGTCTGCCATGTTGTCCATTCTGCTCAGCTATTTAAAAAATGTTGAATATCAACAATGGCTTTCACTGGGGCATTGTCAACTTTTGTATGAAGCAATCTTGGCTGAATGCGATGGTGCCCAGTGCAGGGAGGGCTTGGCTCAGCTCTGAGCGGAATGGAAGACTGCAGCTCGCCTGCGCTTCTCTCTCTCGTCTCAGCTCAAAGCGGCACGGTTCGAGAGTCTTACTCGACTCTCTCCAGTGGAACAGTATGCAGGACCTTAAATGTAGAGAGAAGGATTGAGAAGAGCGACTGTGCAGCGGTGAGTGTCTTTCTGTAGCTGTGGGCTGGAGTACATTTGGAGGGGAGGGGAGGGGGGGGGGGGGGGCTTGTTTAGGGATGGAGGGTGGGGGAGTGGGGTGGATTTTGTTAGCATTTCAGTTCAGTCCAATCACTACACAGAGTTAAACGGTTTGATTTAAAAACTTTTTATTAAAACAAATACACTTAACTTTTCTGTGAGTATTCCTGTTGTAAAATTAGGCAGTCATTCTGTTGAGTTATTTTTTGTAAAAGCGGTTGTTCTGAATTAATCATTGGATGATAGTACTACTCCCTGAAGAATATTCATGACCGTTGCCCTATTTAATTATCAGTATTGAGTGTTCAGATTAAAAACTTCAAACTTCCTAATATTCAGCAAGATTCTAGATTCCAAAAAGTTCCAAAAACCTTATCGTATTGTACCTGTTGAGATTACGATCTCATTACTTGCCCAGGCATATTTTGACAAAAACAAATTCAGTATTATTGATAAATGATAACACAAGCCACTAAATAGATGGATCAGTGCTCTGGCTGTGCCATATGTGGTCTTCAGATGTGTGTAGCTCTGAAAGGTAGCCGAATGTCTTTGTCAGGCTGTCGCCAAGAGGAAGCAGTTAGTGTCTGCGACGTGTCCCCGCCAGTGCAACCGTAACAGCTTGTATCTGCCATTGACATGTCAGTTTCCAGGGCTTTGAGCTGTCAGCCCTACTGCGCCCTTCTCACCCCAGCAGTAGCGAGAGAGCGGAAGAAAGAGTGTGTTTGTGTGCAGGATGGCAGACTGCCATATTACGAGTATGATAAAAAAGATAAAGGAAGTAATGCACATTTGCTCTTGAAGGACTCTTCATGGGTCATTTTAAGTGGACTGGACTGTTGGACTGTTCAGATTACAAAATAACTTGGTCCTAAGTAATGAGTCTAATAAGTGTAAAAATGTGAATGGACTAAAGCTGTGATGTCATTTTTCAGGATTAACAATTATTAAATATTATGGACCGTGTCCACCTATAGGGGTCCGGTGTAGTCCTCTGTGTCTCCTCTGTGTCTCTCTCTGCCAAGGTGAAGAGATTCATCCCCAGGCACCCAATCCATTATCCTGTCAACAACAGCAGGTCCCTGCCACAGTTAGCAGCAACACTGTGACTGGCCGTAATGAAATCATCAGTAATCCCAAAACTCATCTCATCATAGCCAAGGTAATTAATGCATTTGGAGGGCGATGGCTAACTCTTAATTAAATTATGCTTATTTTAATGAGGCCTTTATGTAGAGTACATTTATAGGCCAGTATCTCCGTCATCAAGTGCTCGGCGCTCAACAGAGATTTGTCATTTTCACCTCAAATCACTGGCAGATTAACGTAATGAAGCCCATGATTAATATATCAATTTATACTTGTTTGTTTCTTTCCTCGAGATTCAATAAATTACCCTGCGTAATTAGTTCTTCAGGATTTTGCCACAGCCAAAACCTCAGCTCTCGCTAATAATGCACGTATTATCGCTGCGTATTAATTTTAGAATAATTTAGAGATAACAACTTTGTGGCATTAATCATATTACAAAATGGGGTGTATTTAATTAATTAAAGATATAGCCTGGAAATTAATTGTGCATTTCCACAATATTATCTTAACTAATGAAGGCCTGACGAAGCGACTGTTTCGTTTTTAAAAGGCACCAGATTAGTGGGATCTTAATTATGTTTAAAACAAAAGCCACCTGCTTGCCACATTTGGTGCAAAGTAAAATCAGACAACTCAGCATTCTCTGCCAAACAAAAAAGGAGAAAGTTTCTATTGTTTTGGAGAAACTGTAGAACATGGAAATGATTCAAAAGATACATGGAAAATAATGAGGTTTGTAATTAGCCTAGCAGCCAATGATGGCATTTCAATGATGGCAATTCTTGTCCATTTCTGCAAGTCTGACTGATAAAAGACAACATGGAGTTAACAGAAATGCGTGCTGTTTTGCTCAGGATAGTCAAAGTGAAATTTTGATGAAAAATTATGTTTTTTTTATGATACATTTATTTTCTAATTTTAAAATAATTAAACAGCTCCAGTCATGACTCACATGATACCCTAATAGTTTTTCTGACAGGCACTTAAACTAGAGACATTATAAACATTATCACATGCTGATGTGCAGGTCAGGAGACAGACGTCTCTTTAACACATTGAAAAATTCCTTCACAGATACATTCAGCCAAATCTAATAACACCTCTAAACTCAAAGACAATTGCTTGTGCTATTAGAATTTGCTCAGTGATTTAATCAAAACTATATTTATAGTAATTTTCTGCTAAATTAAATCAGCGGTTTAATTGAAATTAGCTTTCACCGGGTTAGAATAAATGTAGTTAAAACTATTTTCATTTAACGCATCATGTACTAAATGGGGTTTTATTAATGTTTTGCTAAAAATTTCCTCCTGAAAGTTAAAGATATTGTAGAAAAATGCTGTCATTGAGGAGAAAATAGGGACTGTGTATTCACAGCATGTGCTGCATGTCTTAATGTCCCAGCAGATGATGTGTGCACATTAGCTTCATGCTGCATTAGATCACAAATCCTATTTATCACCGACTGGGCTAAAGAGCTTCTCAAACATGCCTTGATTCTTCTGTTGCAATGCACTTCTCTTATATTGTGTGCTTTGCAGTGAAAATGATTGTATTCTTTGTAAATGCATATTAACAATTGCCATACATCTGAGCAATTAAAAAAAAAAAATCTGTATTAGTATGTATGCACAAGCTTTAGGGGGTCATGCCTCGATAGTAAAAAAAGACATTTAAAGTGCAAAAACTCTAAAAAAAAAATAAAAATAAAATTTCTGCCTTATATTAAGTACAATCGTGCAAAAACTCTAAAAATTAAAAATAAAATTTCTGCCTTATATTAAGTACAATCAACTTTGACGTTCAAGCCATTTCAACTTCAAAATGTGTTGAATCTTGCATAACTAATAAAAAAGTTATTAAACTTATTATAACTGATGAGTTAAAGCAATGCAAAAACATTATTGTCTCAACTTATTGATCATTTAATTTTTTTACAGCACAATATGCTTGAATTGGAGGCACTTTAGTTTGTTGTAATCCATGACAAACAGGACTACACCATCTCAACTAAGATTGTATGTGTTCTGACTCAGCGATGCCTTTATATCCTTTTATATCTATTCAGTGTTATGGACATTTCTTTTTTTTCAGGTAACAATGCTTATCTTTTCTCAGACTGTAAAGAGACAAAACAGGCTGTGAATATCAATGAATAATGTGCTCTGTTTGACAGTGCCTTACCGTGGTTACCTATGCCCTGTAGATACTGAATCTGACTTGCCTTTAATGGTGAAGAAACTGAATGAAACTGATAGATAGCGTTGGAATATCACTGAGAAAAATGTTTCAGTCTCTAATGCTAAAACAATTTCTGATGTAGTTTTTTTATTTTCAGTATAATGTCTGAAATAGGCCTAGTTGGGAATTTAAATGAAATTAATATCGTTCAATATAGAAATAAACTTAAAAGTATTTTCTTTTGACAGAGGAAAATTGGATTGATTGTGATATCTAAATTTAGCTGTCGCATTAGTGGCTTTGAGTCCCACATGTTGTTCATTCGATAGTCGGTAATTGACCACAGCAAGTGACAGAGCAATAGCTAAGCGCGCTTTACAAAATTGCTGAGGACAGATAATGTGTCTGAGGAAGCAAGACTTGTAATATTTATCTGAAATCTAAACCAAAACGAACATTAAATTATTTGTTTCGATTGCAAAGGTGTTGTAAATTATCAGAAACGCGCACATTAACTTTTTCGATTAAAATAGCCTAAATAAAAAGTTTAAAGACTAAAAGCTATAATTTCACAAGCAGCGCGTTTGCGTTAGTGACTCAAAATGCTTGTAAATTCTAGTGATAGGATAAGAAACAAAAATTGAGTTGTTCTTCTTTTTCTTTTGCATATTCAGTTTTACATTACAGGAATGATCACTGTTTGCTTTCAAGTAAAACGGGATATCATTCCTAGTTCACAGTGACATCTGAAAGAAGGTCAGATCCAAGCCTCTTTTCTTTAATTGACCAGTGAATATTATTTTACCAGTGTCACACAACCAGTGGGGACGCAACCATTCAGAGAAATACAATAGGAATAACAGACCGTGGTGAAATTGCATCTTCATTTGCATATTCGGTTCAAAAATCATGCAAATCTCAATGAGACGGTCTTTATTGTGCCTGCAATTGAAAAATCATTCTGTTAACCATGGTAACTCTGTCCTTATTCGTAGCCAGTGAATTGAAACAAAAAAAGTTATTAATTCATGGTTATGACATTCAAATGGACTCCAGAGAAATGCTTAATGGTTCGGGGACATTTGATCTTAAAAATCGGAGGTGAAGATTATCCTACTATAGCTATAAAGACTTTTAAAATATCCATATTTTAGTAAGCTACTATTGTTTTGGCTAAAGGCGTCGTTTAACGTTACTTATTGCGCTATATGTTGGAGACAATATACTATTATTAAAAATGACTATTTTCCCCCAATTAGTCGGGATAATTTTATAGCCATCCTATAATAGCCATTTTAAAGTAGCCTACAAATAATAGGCTACAAGTATTTTTGTCTACCTAAATAGTAAATAATCCCCTTTAACCCTTAAAAATATTTCAATAGCCTATAGTTTTTCCCACATAATTGTGGCTCGAGCTTTTTATTTTTATTTTTTATTTTTTAAGCGGGTGTATCGCGTGCAGGCTTATTTATCATTTACATCCACTTATTTGAACTTATACCCTAACAACCTTAGTATAACAAATAGCATACTCTGTAAAAATACTCGAGACTCCGTATGCGCTTATTTATTTCCACTTTAATTGTTAAAGTTGAGCTAATTAACAAGTGAATAGGCTACACGGATTCGAGAAATAACGGTGATAAAGAATATAAGTCCTATGGTGATTTGTTATGGTATTGTGGGTCTCTCAATAGTTCATCACGACAGAACGAGTTGTTAAAACGTTCAGCTAATAAAAACTAAAATTTCTCAGGTCTGACATGTGACATACCTATTAAGCAATAATTAAGCGTAATTTATTCATTTTCCATCTTATAGAATAACAATAGAAAGGTTAATAATTTTAGATGTTTGCATTTGCTTTTTTATTTTTGAGTGTTAATTAACATAGCCTATAAAGGATTGTATTTATCTGCACAATGGCAGTTTTAGTCTATTTAGGTAATTTGAACTGTCGCTATTGCCTACTACACTAATGGACAATTCACTGCCACCATCATACACGTGAGTGATTTTCGGAAGCTTTCGGAGCTCAATGATGTTGAACACTGGAAAGCTTTCCTGGTGGTCCTCGGCCTTAGCTCACGTTAATTAGGAATTTTGGAGAACAGAAGCCATCATTACCGAGCTCCGGGTAACTTGGAGTTTTCCTATTCCTGCTGTCTCCATACATTTCCATAAGCAGATTACAAGAGGATATGTTCCTGAAACCACTCGGATAAATCACCGGTTTCGTGGAATAAGTCTCTAATTAGAACTTTTGTCATATAAGGGCTGGTGCACTGCTATTCATATTAATGTAGCCTGAAGTGCTAATGATGTTCCAAATGACACATTTAATTTATTTCTCTAATGAAACTGAAAGCGACTGAAAAAAAGTTTGATTTTTTTTTCTATTTAAAATGAATATCAAATGCTAAGCTACTAGTGTTTTATATGACGTGACGAATTAACTTGATGCCCACAATCGTATTTATAATTGGACAAAGTTGTATTATTTGTTTTCTCAGTCAAATAATCGGATCACTCTTTTAAATTATTATAATGCTTTTCATATGTAGGTTAAACATCGGGCCTGAATAACTGCATTGGGTAGGCCTAACAACACGTGTTAAGACCAGTTTAGAAAATAACGGAGACATGTTGGTGTTCGTGTCCAATTCGGTCACACACGGTGAAACTTCTCTAAATGGTTGAGTCGTTAGTGTGGTGTTAAAAGCCCATCGTGAATATTCAGTGCTGTAATCGTTCAGTCTCAGTGGCGATGAATGTGTTAAATGTCGATGTTCTTCTCGATGGACGGTGCTAATAGGCTACTGACCCTTTCGAAGGTGTAATTTCTCCCCGGGAGACTGAAAACCTCTTCCAACCCAACACATCTTA